TCCAGAGAGAAGGACAAGGAGATGAAGCAATTGAAAGAAAATGAAACAACCAAAAAGGGCATAATTGAAGTACGCCCTGAAGAAGAAAGAGAAGGAGGTGGAGGGGCGTGGGGGGAAGCAACAAAAATCCTGGTTACCGATGTACATCTTCTTATTTTTTACCTCTTATCAAGTTTACATCTCTATTTATTATTTTCATAATTTCCTCCAAATCTTAAACTTTTTTTTATGTTTCAATTTCTAAATCCCAAAAAGTATGAATGAAAATTTGAACTCATAATGTCTAATTTCCATAGGCGTGGATTTTTTTATAATTTTTGAATGTTGTGATATTTTTTGATTGGATTTAAAATTACTTTGTTGGTGGATACAATTGCGATTGAGATAAAATTTATTTGTTTCAACTTATAATTTAAAAAGTTTATTTGTGAAAATACAAAATTTTTGCTGGCCTTTCTCTCTATAGTTGTACAATATTAGACGTAGATTGACTGATTTTAGAAATATAATATTAACACATGTATGCTGTCATTTCAAAAGTTGAGCACAAGTCAACGAAACTTAGAGCCTCATACAATCTTGCCTCTCTTGTATTTTTTTCCTCCAATTCCCACCGATTCTTGCCCATCCAACCGAACGGCCATCATGAATCTTTCTTCCTTCCTTTGATTATTCTTGGCCCTAATTCCCAAACATCACCCTGCTTCTTCTATTATTACTGACGGTGTCACTATTCATCTTTTTCTGCAATGTCATTTAGAAAAATTTTGTCGCTCAATCACCATTTCCACACAACAGCTCCACTTCCCCCTCTTAACTCTTCTAATTTTGTTTCGGACCCGTCAAAATATGCATTTGGTGGAGGTGTTTTTGCTCTGGCAGTTTCGTTTGTTTCATATTCTGTTGGTCCAGATAAGAGTCAAGTGAAAGAAACGACGAAAATGGCTGCATGTGATATAGAAGATGATGCTGGCAAAAGTTTTAACAGTCTTGAAGGGTGTCTTGATCATATTTCCAGAGAGAAGGACAAGGAGATGAAGCAATTGAAAGAAAATGAAACAACCAAAAAGGGCATAATTGAAGTACGCCCTGAAGAAGAAAGAGAAGGAGGTGGAGGGGTGTGGGGGGAAGCAACAAAAATCCTGGTTACCGATGTACATCTTCTTATTTTTTACCTCTTATCAAGTTTACATCTCTATTTATTATTTTCATAATTTCCTCCAAATCTTAAACTTTTTTTTATGTTTCAATTTCTAAATCCCAAAAAGTATGAATGAAAATTTGAACTCATAATGTCTAATATCCATAGGCGTGAATTTTTTTATAATTTTTGAAAGTTGTGATATTTTTTGATTGGATTTCAAATTACTTTGTTGGTGGATACAATTGCGATTGGGATAAAATTTATTTGTTTCAACTTATAATTTAAAAAGTTTATTTGTGAAAATACAAAATTTTTGCTGGCCTTTCTCTCTATAGTTGTACAATATTAGACGTAGATTGACTGATTTTAGAAATATAATATTAAAACATGTATGCTGTCATTTCAAAAGTTGAGCACAAGTCAACGAAACTTAGAGTCTCATACAATCTTGCCTCTCTTGTATTTTTTTCCTCCAATTCCCACCGATTCTTGCCCATCCAACCGAACGGCCATCATGAATCTTTCTTCCTTCCTTTGATTATTCTTGGCCCTAATTCCCAAACATCACCCTGCTTCTTCTATTATTACTAACGGTGTTACTATTCATATTTTTCTGCAATGTCATTTAGAAAAATTTTGTCGCTCAATCACCATTTCCAAACAACAGCCCCGCTTCCCCCTCTTAACTCTTCTAATTTTCTTTCGGACCCGTCAAAATTTGCATTTGGTGGAGGTGTTTTTGCTCTGGCAGTTTCGTTTGTTTCATATTCCGTTGGTCCAGATAAGAGTCAAGTGAAAGAAACGACGAAAATGGCTGCATGTGATATAGAAGATGATGCTGGCAAAAGTTTTAACAGTCTTGAAGGGTGTCTTGATCATATTTCCAGAGAGAAGGACAAGGAGATGAAGCAATTGAAAGGAAATGAAACAACCAAAAAGGGCATAACTGAAGTACGCCCTGAAGAAGAAAGAGAAGGAGGTGGAGGGGCGTGGGGGGAAGCAACAAAAATCCTGGTTACCGATGTACATCTTCTTATTTTTTACCTCTTATCAAGTTTACATCTCTATTTATTATTTTCATAATTTCCTCCAAATCTTAAACTTTTTTTTATGTTTCAATTTCTAAATCCCAAAAAGTATGAATGAAAATTTGAACTCATAATGTCTAATTTCCATAGGCGTGGATTTTTTTATAATTTTTGAATTTTGTGATATTTTTTGATTGGATTTAAAATTACTTTGTTGGTGGATACAATTGCGATTGAGATAAAATTTATTTGTTTCAACTTATAATTTAAAAAGTTTATTTGTGAAAATACAAAATTTTTGCTGGCCTTTCTCTCTATATTTGTACAATATTAGACGTAGATTGACTGATTTTAGAAATATAATATTAAAACATGTATGCTGTCATTTCAAAAGTTGAGCACAAGTCAACGAAACTTAGAGCCTCATACAATCTTGCCTCTCTTGTATTTTTTTCCTCCAATTCCCACCGATTCTTGCCCATCCAACCGAACGGCCATCATGAATCTTTCTTCCTTCCTTTGATTATTCTTGGCCCTAATTCCCAAACATCACCCTGCTTCTTCTATTATTACTGACGGTGTCACTATTCATCTTTTTCTGCAATGTCATTTAGAAAAATTTTGTCGCTCAATCACCATTTCCACACAACAGCTCCACTTCCCCCTCTTAACTCTTCTAATTTTGTTTCGGACCCGTCAAAATATGCATTTGGTGGAGGTGTTTTTGCTCTGGCAGTTTCGTTTGTTTCATATTCTGTTGGTCCAGATAAGAGTCAAGTGAAAGAAACGACGAAAATGGCTGCATGTGATATAGAAGATGATGCTGGCAAAAGTTTTAACAGTCTTGAAGGGTGTCTTGATCATATTTCCAGAGAGAAGGACAAGGAGATGAAGCAATTGAAAGAAAATGAAACAACCAAAAAGGGCATAATTGAAGTACGCCCTGAAGAAGAAAGAGAAGGAGGTGGAGGGGTGTGGGGGGAAGCAACAAAAATCCTGGTTACCGATGTACATCTTCTTATTTTTTACCTCTTATCAAGTTTACATCTCTATTTATTATTTTCATAATTTCCTCCAAATCTTAAACTTTTTTTTATGTTTCAATTTCTAAATCCCAAAAAGTATGAATGAAAATTTGAACTCATAATGTCTAATATCCATAGGCGTGAATTTTTTTATAATTTTTGAAAGTTGTGATATTTTTTGATTGGATTTCAAATTACTTTGTTGGTGGATACAATTGCGATTGGGATAAAATTTATTTGTTTCAACTTATAATTTAAAAAGTTTATTTGTGAAAATACAAAATTTTTGCTGGCCTTTCTCTCTATAGTTGTACAATATTAGACGTAGATTGACTGATTTTAGAAATATAATATTAAAACATGTATGCTGTCATTTCAAAAGTTGAGCACAAGTCAACGAAACTTAGAGCCTCATGCAATCTTGCCTCTCTTGTATTTTTTTCCTCCAATTCCCACCGATTCTTGCCCATCCAACCGAACGGCCATCATGAATCTTTCTTCCTTCCTTTGATTATTCTTGGCCCTAATTCCCAAACATCACCCTGCTTCTTCTATTATTACTGACGGTGTTACTATTCATCTTTTTCTGCAATGTCATTTAGAAAAATTTTGTCGCTCAATCACCATTTCCACACAACAGCCCCGCTTCCCCCTCTTAACTCTTCTAATTTTGTTTCGGACCTGCCAAAATATGCATTTTGTGGAGGTGTTTTTGCTCTGGCAGTTTCGTTTGTTTCATATTCCGTTGGTCCAGATAAGAGTCAAGTGAAAGAAACGACGAAAATGGCTGCATGTGATATAGAAGATGATGCTGGCAAAAGTTTTAACAGTCTTGAAGGGTGTCTTGATCATATTTCCAGAGAGAAGGACAAGGAGATGAAGCAATTGAAAGAAAATGAAACAACCAAAAAGGGCATAATTGAAGTACGCCCTGAAGAAGAAAGAGAAGGAGGTGGAGGGGCGTGGGGGGAAGCAACAAAAATCCTGGTTACCGATGTACATCTTCTTATTTTTTACCTCTTATCAAGTTTACATCTCTATTTATTATTTTCATAATTTCCTCCAAATCTTAAACTTTTTTTTATGTTTCAATTTCTAAATCCCAAAAAGTATGAATGAAAATTTGAACTCATAATGTCTAATTTCCATAGGCGTGGATTTTTTTATAATTTTTGAATGTTGTGATATTTTTTGATTGGATTTAAAATTACTTTGTTGGTGGATACAATTGCGATTGAGATAAAATTTATTTGTTTCAACTTATAATTTAAAAAGTTTATTTGTGAAAATACAAAATTTTTGCTGGCCTTTCTCTCTATAGTTGTACAATATTAGACGTAGATTGACTGATTTTAGAAATATAATATTAACACATGTATGCTGTCATTTCAAAAGTTGAGCACAAGTCAACGAAACTTAGAGCCTCATACAATCTTGCCTCTCTTGTATTTTTTTCCTCCAATTCCCACCGATTCTTGCCCATCCAACCGAACGGCCATCATGAATCTTTCTTCCTTCCTTTGATTATTCTTGGCCCTAATTCCCAAACATCACCCTGCTTCTTTCTATTATTACTGACGGTGTTACTCATATCATCTTTTTCTGCCAATGCTCATTTTAGAAAATTTATGTCGCCTCAATCACCGCTTTCCACACAACAGCCCGCTTCCCCTCTTAAGCTCTTCTAATTTTGTTTCGGTACCCTCCAAAATATGCATTTGGCTGAAGGTGTTTTTGCCTCTGGCCAGTTTCGTTTGTTTATCACTTATATCTGCTTGGTCCTAAATATAGCAGTCAACTGTGAAAGAAACGCACGCAAAATGGCTGCCATGTGCATATAGAAGCATGAATGGCTGGCCAAAAGCTTTTTAACAGTCTTTTTGAAAAGGGTGTCTTGCATCATATTTCCAGAGAGTAAGGACAGGCAGATGAAAGCCATTTGAAAGCGAATGCAAACAAACCAAAAAGGCGCATTAACTGAAGTAACGCTCCTGCAAGAGAAAAGAAGAGAGCGTGGCGAGGGGCCCGTGGGGGCAAGCAAAACAAAAATCCTTGAGTTACCGATGCTACATCTTCTTATTTTTTAACCTGCTTATCAAGTTTACATCTCTATTTATTTATTTTCATATATTTCCTCCAAAAATTCCTAAACTTTTTATCTTTCAAATTTCTAACATCCCAAAAGTATGAATGAAAATTTGAACTCATAATGTCTATTATCCCATAGGCCGTGGATTTTTTTTTATAATTTTTGAATGGTGTTGATATTTTTTGATTGGCATTTAAAATTACTTTGTTGGTGGATACAATTGCGATTGAGATAAAGTTTATTTGTTTCAACTTATAATTTAAAAAGTTTATTTGTGAAAATACAAAATTTTTGCTGGCCTTTCTCTCTATAGTTGTACAATATTAGACGTAGATTGACTGATTTTAGAAATATAATATTAAAACATGTATGCTGTCATTTCAAAAGTTGAGCACAAGTCAACGAAACTTAGAGCCTCATACAATCTTGCCTCTCTTGTATTTTTTTCCTCCAATTCCCACCGATTCTTGCCCATCCAACCGAACGGCCATCATGAATCTTTCTTCCTTCCTTTGATTATTCTTGGCCCTAATTCCCAAATATCACCCCGCTTCTTCTATTATTACTGACGGTGTCACTATTCATCTTTTTCTGCAATGTCATTTAGAAAAATTTTGTCGCTCAATCACCATTTCCACACAACAGCCCCGCTTCCCCCTCTTAACTCTTCTAATTTTGTTTCGGACCCGTCAAAATATGCATTTGGTGGAGGTGTTTTTGCTCTGACAGTTTCGTTTGTTTCATATTCTGTTGGTCCAGATAAGAGTCAAGTGAAAGAAACGACGAAAATGGCTGCATGTGATATACAAGATGATGCTGGCAAAAGTTTTAACAGTCTTGAAGGGTTTCTTGATCATATTTCCAGAGAGAAGGACAAGGAGATGAACCAATTGAAAGAAAATGAAACAACCAAAAAGGGCATAATTGAAGTACGCCCAGAAGAAGAAAGAGAAGGAGGTGGAGGGGTGTGGGGGGAAGCAACAAAAATCCTGGTTACCGATGTACATCTTCTTATTTTTTACCTCTTATCAAGTTTACATCTCTATTTATTATTTTCATAATTTCCTCCAAAACTTAAACTTTTTTTTATGTTTCAATTTCTAAATCCCAAAAAGTATGAATGAAAATTTGAACTCATAATGTCTAATTTCCATAGGCGTGGATTTTTTTTATAATTTTTGAATGTTGTGATATTTTTTGATTGGATTTAAAATTACTTTGTTGGTGGATACAATTGCGATTGAGATAAAATTTATTTGTTTCAACTTATAATTTAAAAAGTTTATTTGTGAAAATACAAAATTTTTGCTGGCCTTTCTCTCTATAGTTGTACAATATTAGACGTAGATTGACTGATTTTAGAAATATAATATTAAAACATGTATGCTGTCATTTCAAAAGTTGAGCACAAGTCAACGAAACTTAGAGTCTCATGCAATCTTGCCTCTCTTGTATTTTTTTCCTCCAATTCCCACCGATTCTTGCCCATCCAACCGAACGGCCATCATGAATCTTTCTTCCTTCCTTTGATTATTCTTGGCCCTAATTCCCAAACATCACCCCGCTTCTTCTATTATTACTGACGGTGTCACTATTCATCTTTTTCTGCAATGTCATTTAGAAAAATTTTGTCGCTCAATCACCATTTCCACACAACAGCCCCGCTTCCCCCTCTTAACTCTTCTAATTTTGTTTCGGACCCGTCAAAATATGCATTTGGTGGAGGTGTTTTTGCTCTGACAGTTTCGTTTGTTTCATATTCTGTTGGTCCAGATAAGAGTCAAGTGAAAGAAACGACGAAAATGGCTGCATGTGATATACAAGATGATGCTGGCAAAAGTTTTAACAGTCTTGAAGGGTTTCTAGATCATATTTCCAGAGAGAAGGACAAGGAGATGAAGCAATTGAAAGAAAATGAAACAACCAAAAAGGGCATAATTGAAGTACGCCCAGAAGAAGAAAGAGAAGGAGGTGGAGGGGTGTGGGGGGAAGCAACAAAAATCCTGGTTACCGATGTACATCTTCTTATTTTTACCTCTTATCAAGTTTACATCTCTATTTATTATTTTCATAATTTCCTCCAAAACTTAAACTTTTTTTTATGTTTCAATTTCTAAATCCCAAAAAGTATGAATGAAAATTTGAACTCATAATGTCTAATTTCCATAGGCGTGGATTTTTTTTATAATTTTTGAATGTTGTGATATTTTTTGATTGGATTTAAAATTACTTTGTTGGTGGATACAATTGCGATTGAGATAAAATTTATTTGTTTCAACTTATAATTTAAAAAGTTTATTTGTGAAAATACAAAATTTTTGCTGGCCTTTCTCTCTATAGTTGTACAATATTAGACGTAGATTGACTGATTTTAGAAATATAATATTAACACATGTATGCTGTCATTTCAAAAGTTGAGCACAAGTCAACGAAACTTAGAGCCTCATACAATCTTGCCTCTCTTGTATTTTTTTCCTCCAATTCCCACCGATTCTTGCCCATCCAACCGAACGGCCATCATGAATCTTTCTTCCTTCCTTTGATTATTCTTGGCCCTAATTCCCAAACATCACCCTGCTTCTTCTATTATTACTGACGGTGTCACTATTCATCTTTTTCTGCAATGTCATTTAGAAAAATTTTGTCGCTCAATCACCATTTCCACACAACAGCTCCACTTCCCCCTCTTAACTCTTCTAATTTTCTTCGCTACCGTCAACAAATTTTGCTATTTCGTGTCAGGTGTTTTTGCCTCTGGCAGTGTTCGTTGTTTCATGATCCGTTCGTCCAGACAAAGAGTCAAGTGCAAAGAAACGTACGAAAATCGGCACTTGCATGTGACTATTAGAAGCATGATGCTGGCAAAAGTTTAACAGGCTTGAAGGGTGTCTCTGATCATATTTACCAGAGAGAAGCGACAAGGAGGATGAAGCAAATTGAAAGGAAATGAAAAACAACCAAAAAAAGGCGCAATAACTGAAGTACGCCTGCAAGAAGAACGAGAAGGAGGTTGGAGGGGCGTGGGGCGGAAGCCCAACAAAATCCTGGTATACCGATGCTACATCTTCTTATTTTTTAACCTCTTTTTATCAAGTTTACATCTCATTTTATTTTCATAATTTCCTCCTAAATCTTAAACTTTTTTTTATGTATTCAATTCTTAAATCCAAAAAGTTATGATATTTTGAAAATTTTGAACTCATAATGCTCTAATTTCCATTAAGGCGTGCGATTTTTTTATAATTTTTTGAATTTTGTGATATTTTTATTGCGATATTAAAATTACTTCTGTTGCGTGGATACAATGCGATTGAGATAAAATTTATTTGTTTCAAACTTATAATTTAAAAAAGTTTATTTGTGAAAAATACAAAATTTTTGCTGGCCTTTCTCTTCTATAGTTGCTACAATATTAGACGTAGCATTGACTGATTATTAGAAATATAATATTAAAACATGCTAATGCTGTTCATTTCAAAAGTTGCAGCACAACCGTCAACGAAACTTAGAGGCCCCTCATACAATAATTGCCTCTCTTGTATTTTTTTCCTCAATTCCCTACCGCATTCTGCCCATCCACCGAACGGCCATCATGAATCTTATCTTCCCTTCCTTTGGATTTATCTTGGTCCCTAATTCCCAAAAACAATCACCCCGCTTCTTCTATTCATTACTGACGGCCTGTCACTATTTTCCAAATCTTTTTCTGCCCAATGTCATTTTAGCAAAATTTTGTCGCCTCAATCACCATTTCCCACACAATCAGCCCCGCTTCCCCCTCATTAACTCTTCTTAATTTTTGTTTCGACCCCTTTGTTCAAAATATTTGCATTTGGGTGGCAGTTGTTTTGCTCTGCACAGTTTTTCGCTTTGTTTCATATCTAGTTGGTCCAGATAAGAGTCAAGTGAAAGAAACGACGAAAATGGCTGCATGTGATATAGAAGATGATGCTGGCAAAAGTTTTAACAGTCTTGAAGGGTGTCTTGATCATATTTCCAGAGAGAAGGCCAAGGAGATGAAGCAATTGAAAGAAAATGAAACAACCAGAAAGGGCATAATTGAAGTACGCCCTGAAGAAGAAAGAGAAGGAGGTGGAGGGGTGTGGGGGGAAGCAACAAAAATCCTGGTTACCGATGTACATCTTCTTATTTTTTACCTCTTATCAAGTTTACATCTCTATTTATTATTTTCATAATTTCCTCTAAATCTTAACCTTTTTTTTATGTTTCAATTTCTAAATCCCAAAAAGTATGAATGAAAATTTGAACTCATAATGTCTAATTTCCATAGGCGTGGATTTCTTTATAATTTTTCAATGTTGTGATATTTTTTGATTGGATTTAAAATTACTTTGTTGGTGGATACAATTGCGATTGAGATAAAATTTATTTGTTTCAACTTATAATTTAAAAAGTTTATTTGTGAAAATACAAAATTTTTGCTGGCCTTTCTCTCTATAGTTGTACAATATTAGACGTAGATTGACTGATTTTAGAAATATAATATTAAAACATGTATGCTGTCATTTCAAAAGTTGAGCACAAGTCAACGAAACTTAGAGCCTCATACAATCTTGCCTCTCTTGTATTTTTTTCCTCCAATTCCCACCGATTCTTGCCCATCCAACCGAACGGCCATCATGAATCTTTCTTCCTTCCTTTGATTATTCTTGGCCCTAATTCCCAAACATCACCCCGCTTCTTCTATTATTACTGACGGTGTCACTATTCATCTTTTTCTGCAATGTCATTTAGAAAAATTTTGTCGCTCAATCACCATTTCCACACAACAGCCCCGCTTCCCCCTCTTAACTCTTCTAATTTTGTTTCGGACCCGTCAAAATATGCATTTGGTGGAGGTGTTTTTGCTCTGGCAGTTTCGTTTGTTTCATATTCTGTTGGTCCAGATAAGAGTCAAGTGAAAGAAACGACGAAAATGACTGCATGTGATATACAAGATGATGCTGGCAAAAGTTTTAACAGTCTTGAAGGGTTTCTTGATCATATTTCCAGAGAGAAGGACAAGGAGATGAAGCAATTGAAAGAAAATGAAACAACCAAAAAGGGCATAATTGAAGTACGCCCAGAAGAAGAAAGAGAAGGAGGTGGAGGGGTGTGGGGGGAAGCAACAAAAATCCTGGTTACCGATGTACATCTTCTTATTTTTACCTCTTATCAAGTTTACATCTCTATTTATTATTTTCATAATTTCCTCCAAAACTTAAACTTTTTTTTATGTTTCAATTTCTAAATCCCAAAAAGTATGAATGAAAATTTGAACTCATAATGTCTAATTTCCATAGGCGTGGATTTTTTTTATAATTTTTGAATGTTGTGATATTTTTTGATTGGATTTAAAATTACTTTGTTGGTGGATACAATTGCGATTGAGATAAAATTTATTTGTTTCAACTTATAATTTAAAAAGTTTATTTGTGAAAATACAAAATTTTTGCTGGCCTTTCTCTCTATAGTTGTACAATATTAGACGTAGATTGACTGATTTTAGAAATATAATATTAAAACATGTATGCTGTCATTTCAAAAGTTGAGCACAAGTCAACGAAACTTAGAGCCTCATTCAATCTTGCCTCTCTTGTATTTTTTTCCTCCAATTCCCACCGATTCTTGCCCATCCAACCGAACGGCCATCATGAATCTTTCTTCCTTCCTTTGATTATTCTTGGCCCTAATTCCCAAACATCACCCTGCTTCTTCTATTATTACTGACGGTGTTACTATTCATATTTTTCTGCAATGTCATTTAGAAAAATTTTGTCGCTCAATCACCATTTCCAAACAACAGCCCCGCTTCCCCCTCTTAACTCTTCTAATTTTCTTTCGTACCCGTCAAAATTTGCATTTGGTGGAGGTGTTTTTGCTCTGGCAGTTTCGTTTGTTTCATATTCCGTTGGTCCAGACAAGAGTCAAGTGAAAGAAACGACGAAAATGGCTGCATGTGATATAGAAGATGATGCTGGCAAAAGTTTTAACAGTCTTGAAGGGTGTCTTGATCATATTTCCAGAGAGAAGGACAAGGAGATGAAGCAATTGAAAGGAAATGAAACAACCAAAAAGGGCATAACTGAAGTACGCCCTGAAGAAGAAAGAGAAGGAGGTGGAGGGGCGTGGGGGGAAGCAACAAAAATCCTGGTTACCGATGTACATCTTCTTATTTTTTACCTCTTATCAAGTTTACATCTCTATTTATTATTTTCAAAATTTCCTCCAAATCTTAAACTTTTTTTTATGTTTCAATTTCTAAATCCGAAAAAGTATGAATGAAAATTTGAACTCATAATGTCTAATTTCCATAGGCGTGGATTTTTTTATAATTTTTGAATGTTGTGAGATTTTTTGATTGGATTTAAAATTACTTTTTTGGTGGATATAATTGCGATTGAGATAAAATTTATTTGTTTCAACTTATAATTTAAAAAGTTTATTTGTGAAAATACAAAATTTTTGCTGGCCTTTCTCTCTTTAGTTGTACAATATTAGACGTAGATTGACTGATTTTAGAAATATAATATTAAAACATGTATGCTGTCATTTCAAAAGTTGAGCACAAGTCAACGAAACTTAGAGGCTCATACAATCTTGCCTCTCTTGTATTTTTTTCCTCCAATTCCCACCGATTCTTGCCCATCCAACCGAACGGCCATCATGAATCTTTCTTCCTTCCTTTGATTATTCTTGGCCCTAATTCCCAAACATCACCCCGCTTCTTCTATTATTACTGACGGTGTCACTATTCATCTTTTTCTGCAATGTCATTTAGAAAAATTTTGTCGCTCAATCACCATTTCCACACAACAGCCCCGCTTCCCCCTCTTAACTCTTCTAATTTTGTTTCGGACCCGTCAAAATATGCATTTGGTGGAGGTGTTTTTGCTCTGGCAGTTTCGTTTGTTTCATATTCTGTTGGTCCAGATAAGAGTCAAGTGAAAGAAACGACGAAAACGGCTGCATGTGATATACAAGATGATGCTGGCAAAAGTTTTAACAGTCTTGAAGGGTTTCTTGATCATATTTCCAGAGAGAAGGACAAGGAGATGAAGCAATTGAAAGAAAATGAAACAACCAAAAAGGGCATAATTGAAGTACGCCCAGAAGAAGAAAGAGAAGGAGGTGGAGGGGTGTGGGGGGAAGCAACAAAAATCCTGGTTACCGATGTACATCTTCTTATTTTTTACCTCTTATCAAGTTTACATCTCTATTTATTATTTTCATAATTTCCTCCAAAACTTAAACTTTTTTTTATGTTTCAATTTCTAAATCCCAAAAAGTATGAATGAAAATTTGAACTCATAATGTCTAATTTCCATAGGCGTGGATTTTTTTTATAATTTTTCAATGTTGTGATATTTTTTGATTGGATTTAAAATTACTTTGTTGGTGGATACAATTGCGATTGAGATAAAATTTATTTGTTTCAACTTATAATTTAAAAAGTTTATTTGTGAAAATACAAGATTTTTGCTGGCCTTTCTCTCTATAGTTGTACAATATTAGACGTAGATTGACTGATTTTAGAAATATAATATTAAAACATGTATGCTGTCATTTCAAAAGTTGAGCACAAGTCAACGAAACTTAGAGCCTCATACAATCTTGCCTCTCTTGTATTTTTTTCCTCCAATTCCCACCGATTCTTGCCCATCCAACCGAACGGCCATCATGAATCTTTCTTCCTTCCTTTGATTATTCTTGGCCCTAATTCCCAAACATCACCCCGCTTCTTCTATTATTACTGACGGTGTCACTATTCATCTTTTTCTGCAATGTCATTTAGAAAAATTTTGTCGCTCAATCACCATTATCCACACAACAGCCCGCTTCCCCCTCTTTAACTCTTCTAATTTTGTTTCGCGGACCCGTTCAAAATATGCTATTATTGCGTGGAGGTGTTTTTGCTCTGACAGTTCGTTTGTTTCATTATTCTGTTGCCGTCCAGATTAAGCAGTCAGCTGAAAGAAACGCGAAAAATGGACTTGCTGTGAATATACAATGATGCATGCTGGCAAAGTTTTTAACAGTCTGAAGCGGTTTCCTTGATCAGTTATTCTTTCCCAGCAGAGAAGGACAATGGAGATGAAGCAATGAAAGAAAATGAAACAACAAAAAGGGCATAATTGAAGTACGCCAGAAAGAATAAAGAGAAGGAGCGTGGAGGGCGTGTGCGGGGGAAGCCAACAAAAATCCTGGTACCGATGTACATCTTCTTATTTTTACCTCTTTCAAAGTTTACATCTCTATTTATTATATTCATAATTTCCTTCCAAACTTAATAACTTTTTTTTATGTTTCAATTTTCTTTAAAATCCCAAAAAGTATGCAATGAATAATTTTTGAACTCATAATGTCTAATTTTCCCTATAGCGCGTTAGCGATTTTTTTTATAAATTTTTGAATGTTGTGCATATTTTTTGCATTGCGATTTAAAATTACTTTGCTTGGTTGCGATTACAATTGCGATTGAGATAAAATTTATTTGTTTCAACTTATAATTTAAAAAGTTTATTTGTGAAAATACAAAATTTTTGCTGGCCTTTCTCTCTATAGTTGTACAATATTAGACGTAGATTGACTGATTTTAGAAATATAATATTAACACATGTATGCTGTCATTTCAAAAGTTGAGCACAAGTCAACGAAACTTAGAGCCTCATACAATCTTGCCTCTCTTGTATTTTTTTCCTCCAATTCCCACCGATTCTTGCCCATCCAACCGAACGGCCATCATGAATCTTTCTTCCTTCCTTTGATTATTCTTGGCCCTAATTCCCAAACATCACCCTGCTTCTTCTATTATTACTGACGGTGTCACTATTCATCTTTTTCTGCAATGTCATTTAGAAAAATTTTGTCGCTCAATCACCATTTCCACACAACAGCTCCACTTCCCCCTCTTAACTCTTCTAATTTTGTTTCGGACCCGTCAAAATATGCATTTGGTGGAGGTGTTTTTGCTCTGGCAGTTTCGTTTGTTTCATATTCTGTTGGTCCAGATAAGAGTCAAGTGAAAGAAACGACGAAAATGGCTGCATGTGATATAGAAGATGATGCTGGCAAAAGTTTTAACAGTCTTGAAGGGTGTCTTGATCATATTTCCAGAGAGAAGGACAAGGAGATGAAGCAATTGAAAGAAAATGAAACAACCAAAAAGGGCATAATTGAAGTACGCCCTGAAGAAGAAAGAGAAGGAGGTGGAGGGGTGTGGGGGGAAGCAACAAAAATCCTGGTTACCGATGTACATCTTCTTATTTTTACCTCTTATCAAGTTTACATCTCTATTTATTATTTTCAAAATTTCCTCCAAATCTTAAACTTTTTTTTATGTTTCAAATTCTAAATCCGAAAAAGTATGAATGAAAATTTGAACTCATAATGTCTAATTTCCATAGGCGTGGATTTTTTTATAATTTTTGAATGTTGTGAGATTTTTTGATTGGATTTAAAATTACTTTTTTGGTGGATACAATTGCGATTGAGATAAAATTTATTTGTTTCAACTTATAATTTAAAAAGTTTATTTGTGAAAATACAAAATTTTTGCTGGCCTTTCTCTCTATAGTTGTACAATATTAGACGTAGATTGACTGATTTTAGAAATATAATATTAAAACATGTATGCTGTCATTTCAAAAGTTGAGCACAAGTCAACGAAACTTAGAGGCTCATACAATCTTGCCTCTCTTGTATTTTTTTCCTCCAATTCCCACCGATTCTTGCCCATCCAACCGAACGGCCATCATGAATCTTTCTTCCTTCCTTTGATTATTCTTGGCCCCTACATTCCCAAACACACCCCGCTTTCTTCTATTATTACTGACCGGTGTCACTATTCATCTTTTTCTGCACAATGTCATTTAGAACAAATTTTGTCGCATCAATCACCATTTCCACACACATGCCCGCTTCCCTCCCTCTTAACTCTCTAATTTGTTTCAGACCCGTCAAAAATATGATTTGGTTGGAGTGTTTTTGCTCTGCGCAGTTTCGTGTTGTTTCATATTCTGTTGCAGTCCATGATAAGAGTCAAGTGAAAAGAAACGACGAAAATGGCTGCATGTGATATTACAAGATGCATCTGGCAAAAGTCTTTAACAGCTCTTGAAGCGGTTTACTTGATCATATTTCAGAGCAGAAGGACAAGGCAGCATTGAAGCAATTGAAAGAAACATGAAACAGACCAAAATAGGTCATAATGCAAGTACGCCCAGAAGAAGAAAGAGAAGGAGCGTGGAGGGGTGTGGGCGGAAGCAACAAAAATCCTGGTTACCGATGTACATCCTTCTTATTTTACCTCTTATCAGCTTTACATCTACTATATTATTATTTTTCACTAATTTCCTCCAAAAACTTTAAATCTTTTTTTATGTTTCAATTTCTTTAAATTCCTCAAAAGTATGAATGCAAAATTTGAAACTCATAATGTCTTTCTTAATTTTCCATAGGCCGTGGATTTTTTTTATAATTTTTGAATGTTGTGATATTTTTTGATTGGATTTAAAATTACTTTGTTGGTGGATACAATTGCGATTGAGATAAAATTTATTTGTTTCAACTTATAATTTAAAAAGTTTATTTGTGAAAATACAAAATTTTTGCTGGTCTTTCTCTCTATAGTTGTACAATATTAGAAGTAGATTGACTGA